GAGCCCGTCGAGCCTGATACTCGACATTTTCCGGGAAAAACTGCGATCTGATCGCTTCCTTGAGGAGATCCCAAGAATCAATTCGAATCCTGTGGGCCTGAATGTCCGCATATTTGGTTCGCCACCATAATTTTGCATCTCCACCCAAATACATGGTGGCTGTGGTTACCTTTCTAGCTTCATCTTCGATCGAAGCTGCTAGAAAGTATTGTTCCATATCAAACAAGAAGTTTTCGACTTCTTTTGCATCACGTGCCCCTCCATAGGTACACGGTTCAGGAATTCTGAGTCTAGGAGCATACTCGTGTGCGGGAGCTTGCCCATTGCCCACCGCACGTTGGAGTACTCGCAATTGAGCTCTCAACGCTTCCATTTCATCCTGCAGATCAGGAATGATTGCAGCAGCTTCCGTCATTGCTGCGCAAGCTCTTTGGCTTTCATCCAATTGGATGTGTAATCAACGAATCTCAGATTCGGCCATCTCGACTTTTTCCTCGAGACCTTCCACAGCATAGCACAACCTAGTAGTTGTCTCATCAAGCGCATCCACGCGCTGTTTCGTAGTACCCTTCTTTTGAGGCTCTACCACTTCAGTGGTGTGTGATGTAATTGGATCCATAGCTTTCTTATCGAGGGTCTTGAGCCGCAGCTCTGATACCAACTTTCACGGGGTGCCTTTCTTCTTGGCACAGAAAGGGACACCGTGCGGCAGTAGTCTGCTCCGCTAGACTACCTTCCGCCTTTTCTCGATCGCGTCGGGACGAAAGAAAATTTGATTGCAATTTTGTAGAAAGTTTACAATTGAGAATTTGAATACATTGAAAGTAAATTGAGCATTGATTGCTGAAAACTGAACATTACAATTGATGAAAGCAGAAAATTACAAATGCTGGTGCAGGGGGCGGACACCAGTGAGCTTGAAAGATTTTTGAATGACTAATACCCCCTATAATAGCATTCTGAACAAAAACCCAAGTGACGGGAGTAGACGTTTAAAAGACGAGGAATCATACTAATCTTTTACCAATATCAGAGCTATTTTACAATTAAAATAACTATTACAATGAAACGAAAATTACAACTCAAACTTGAAGTAATATTTACAATGTGCGGCCGAAGTTGGGCAAACTGCGGCTGCGATAGTGTCAAGGGGCTAAGTAAAGCTGCGGTCCTTGACACGTCGTCATCCCTTAAAACGATAAGCTCCCCAACTATATTATATCCACAAATCTACCAATATCAAAGAAAGTAGCAGCTCCAAGCAAGTAGTTTGTATCAAAGGCGAAGTATCAAAGTAAATTTTTCTTCATTCTTGTTTCTCCTGTTTCTCACTTTACAAGCAGTCAAAACGGATTCCAAAAACGAAGATCAGGTCAAATAGCATATCTTATGTGAGAACAGGAGGCCAAAAAATGGGAGCTAATAAGTTCCAAATATAGGCTGTGCCTCTCAATTTCACACCACAAGCAGCACCATACCAATATACCAAAATATCAGAGCTTAGAGCCAAAAATATGTCTGTTCAAGAGATTATCATCTATAAAATAAGCTTATGAAACTACCTTGAACCCTGCATTGACACTCTTAACAGCCAAGGTCCCAATTACATCATCAGCTTCGACACCTGGCACCTACTTTAAAATGGACATATAAATCCTAGGACCTTGCAACCACATTAAATCAAACAAAAACCATATGACTCTTACCTCAATCACTTTAATAGACATCGCCTTGATGGATGCTTTCAAGTACTGGAGTCCCTGAATGATGGTATCTGGTGTGGGAGGCCGATTGCTTTTGTATGAAGGGAAAAGGGTGTGACGAAAATTTAGGCCTACAAGAAGTTTTACCAATCAGCGATTGCTATGTAATTATTAGACATGAGTAACCAGAATCTTAAATCTCCCTCTGTTAAAACAGAGATAAAGAGAGAATCTATTGATATGAAATACAGTATAATAAGTTGTTCACTAAATACACACACAAGACAGATGAATTGAAATGAATAATCAGATCAAAGCCAGAAGTGCATATGGCATGAGAAATGACATAAATAAAAATAGAACAGATGAACTAAAGGAGAACAAGGAAAAAGATCACAGCAGCTGAAATCTTCTTAGATTAAAAAATTACATAGAATCAAATCTATCTGATATCAATGGGAACATACAAACAAGTAGTATTGATAAACACATTTAGTGAACAAAATTTGTCTTTAAGAACTCTGCACCGTCAGTAGCTTAGCCCATTTAGCTCATGGAGACTATGGACTAGATTGAAGACAGTTAACAAAGATGCAATATCAAACTTTACAGTTAACATATATTATAAGGAAAAGAGAACCCAAATACCCACATACTACTTGAGTGAAAGAGATAAGAAAGATGGGGAGAGAGACATATAAAACAGAGACAATATATAAACTAACAAAAATTTCCTAAGGATTATGTCTCAGAAAAAGTAATGAGGCAGTAGCTCTAGCATACGGGAATTATAAGACCTAACCAAAACTATAGTTCTCCTGCTGACACTTCATGTGCAAAAATAAAATACATCGATAAAGAATAATTAATGTAGTTACTTGTGATGCATATGCATTTTGGTTAGAGCAACATGCTCTCTTGATACCGCTTGCCAAAAAAAATGAAATCACAGACAATAAACCTTAAAACCAGATAAGATTCATACTCGGCATTCGATTTCAGTGAACGCAAGCTTTTTTAATTATGGCCAACTCTGTAAATTACAAGCATGAGAGATTTTATTTTCAGTACCATAACTAAAAATCCATATGATTTGACTTGCCTTACATAGCCAACAATGACAAATTTGGAAAATTCATGGAGTGATGATGGCAATGGATACTTCTGCATCAATATAAAGATACTGCACATCGATTGAAAGGGCTCCTAAGAACAAAGCAAGTGAGTCGAGGATGCCCTTTTCAGTCTTGAGCCCCTGTTTGGGCCCCATTTTAGAAAAAAATGCATTTTTATCCTTCTTATTTTTCACCACACGTTCTCCAATAGAATAATATTACACGTAGACCCCAAGCTTTTCCTTATTTTTTAACCACGCATTCTCAAAAAATCACTATCCAAAATACATTTTTCCCCAAAACCTATTTCTTATGGAGCCCAAACAGTGGCTGAAGTGCAATTGTTGTTAAACAACACCAAGACGTGCAAGACCAAAAGGCAGATTTGTTTAATTTTGGGGCATTTTGAGTCCTTCATCTGCACATTGATTTTGTTGAGCTTGGATGTCACGTTGATGTTTTAGTTACTGATTTTGTTCAAATAGGTGGGAAAATCAACGTAGTTACTGAAAATTGTTGTTTTTCAGCTTTTCTTGGTATATTTTTTATATAAGGGAATTTTTTATTTAGACTATACTAAGATTTCTGCTTCAATAAACTTATGTTGTGTGCTTACGCTCTAAGAGGCACTGGGAGTGTATGACTTCGCACGGTTAATAACTACTACATCAAACAAAACAGAGAGAACTCGATCAAACAGAAACCTAAGAACAACAAATAGTGCAAAAACAACCAAGAAACACTCCAAGAACGCTCCAAAGCCATACTAGAGTGCTTCCACCCTAAGAATAATTTTCAAAAGAAATTCACGAATACAATGAGCCCTATCAGTCGAGAGAACTCGATCAAACACATAATTCGTGTTCCTACAATAACAGCCAATGCACCAACCAAAAATCCGGCAATATATTGCTCACCAAGATGTTGCAGTTGGGAGAAATCCCACATAACAGTATACACCAAAAAAACCAAAGATGATCCTCACCCGAGCAACCAAAACTCTTGCTCATCACTAGAAAAACCTAAACTCAACAGTCTGCACTTTCATGTCTCTCTCATCCCTATGACCCATCAATATGATACCCAAGTTCCTTATTGGAAGCAAACCAATCCACATGCCAAAGCTCATACAAAATTAGCCTACAAAGAGAAACCACGATGTATATCCCAATTGCTCCAACCCATAATTACCTGAGCCCATTTACAAGTTATACCCTCATATCCAAAAGCCAAGCCCACTTTCAACAAATCCCTGACCTATTCAAAAAGCACATAACATAATACAATCCCATTCACCCATTCAAAATTACCCAAGCCCATAAGCATCCATTAAAGTCTCCAAAACCTAACCCATTCACTAAGAAAAATGAATCCAACCAACAAAGCAGCAAGGCAATTGGTGTCTTTTCTTATCCCATTAGCTTAAGAATCATTAGATCTCTGCCAAAAATTACTCTCAATGATAACACTCGTGTGTCAATCAAGGTAGAATATATATTTCCCAAGCAGAATAATTTTTACTCATGGATTTCACACCAAAGGATTCTGAATTACTACCCGACATCGTAAAATAGCAATTCTAATAATGACAACAGAAAACAAGTCCAACAGAAATAATAATAGGAAGGCCAACAATATGAGCCCAGCAAAACTGATAATGAAAGTTATTAAAGCCCAAGCCCAACAAGTCAGACCCAATATACCTGCCCAATCTCTAGAACTTTCCAAAGCTTGCACCTATCCAAACTCAATCCCACAGACCCCTCCATCCAAAATTAAGGCTGGGAGAAAATCTCTCTTCACATTTTCCTTCATCGGAGCAGCACAAAACTGGCCAACTGGTCTGACAAATCCAAGACCAAACAAACTTGTAGTAGCAACTCGTCTCCAAACGATCTTAAATCCTTTATCTTCATTACAAGATTGAAGATGGATTTTTTTGCAATGGAGTGGGTGACCACCTGGGCAGCAATATCATCAAATTCCCATATTAAGGCTGAGCTAATTACCAGATTTTTAATAGGATGAACTGCCTAGCAATTCTGATACCATTTCCATAGCCTAATCATGAAGTGCTTATTTCAAATAATGAATTCAATCCAGCCACCCAAAATAAACGACGGCAGGAGAACCCAGAGTAATCCAAGGAAAAGCCAACAACAATGTAGATGCCGACTGCTGTAAATGGAGTAATCCAACAGAGGTTTCAAGATAACCACTGCAGCCAAAAATCGAAGATGGTGCCGAGACCAGCACAAAAGTCTCTGGCCACCAACAACCCAAAAAAAGACTAAATCCCACGAAAAAGCACAAAAAGTTCTCACTGTCTTACAATTTTCAATCTCTCAATCGCCATATTCGTCTTGCTCCATTTATGCAGAGCATGTGTGTATGCTTTTTCAGGAATAGGTGTATATATACTGCACAATTAACGATTTTTAAGTTTTGGGGAAGATATCAAAATTTGGGGAAGGAAGACGACAAATTGAGAATCCGTGAAAGGAGAGGACTGGACGTGAAAAAAAAGATACGAAAATGAGAGAAAAATTCTAAGAAGAGGCTCTAATACCATTTCAAAATAATTGGCTGAATAAGCTTCACTTCGGACATCATTAAATTATATAGCTACAATATTTATTTTTTTTTTTTTTTTTTTTGAGAGGTAATCGAAAATTTTATTAATCAAACCATAATACACAGAAAGTGTATTATCAATACAAATCCGAAAGAAACGACATAAAATTGGACAGCCCATCTATTTGCCTAGTAGCCGCCGCATTAAACCAAGTATACAATGTAAAATAAAATAATTCTCTAAGTTGCTCTGTTGTTCGTGTTTGATCGTTAAAACAACGGCTGTTTCTTTCTCTCCACACACACCATACTATACAGCCCGGAATAAGCTCTCATGCCATCTTGCTAACCTTGTCTCAAAATTTTCTTCTCCATGCCTTCAACACATCTTCCATACGCCCTGGCATCGCCCAATCCATATGTTGCGATGCAAAAATCTCATTCCACAGTACAATTATAATAATAATATAGACAATCTTTGATGATCTCCGTAATCTTATTCAATCTCAATGACTAGAGTCATTGTATTCTCCCAAAAAGTGATTGTTTTTGCATATCTGGGTTCCATATTAAATGAAGAATAAAGTCCCAATGCACTTTAACATTATTTGGTCAAAATTTCCAAAAGTTTCCCACCCCATGTAAGGAAAAGAAGAGTAATGTATTTGATATTACTTATATTAATAGATCTATATGCAAACCAGCAGATTATCTCCAAAACCACAAGTCAAGTCATCCATTCACAAAGCGTGATGTAAATGATCAGTCATTTAGAATATTCGAAGGTATCCTCAGTGGTACATATCGAAATGCATAAACAGATCTATTAAACATAACATGTGCATAAGCTCTTTATTGAGAAAAACATTTCCCTATACAGTAAACCACCTCAATAAAATGCATTAGTTTGATCACATTAGGCTCTAAATTGTTTAGAATGTGGGATTAATTTTATCCGAATTATTAGTCATAAGAATACGGTCGATAGTGTTTTTCCAACACTATACACAACTTCAGATTACATAGCATACCTTTTGCAACATAACTTTGTTTGGATGAAAGAGAAGTGTGACCGTATGGAACTCCTGAAAGGAAAAACTTTGTTTTATCAAAACATTCTTCAAAGAAGTGTGCTCATATCCATACCCATCTAATTGCAAATATCAGGCAAAACATTAGAAGCACACATTACCAATTTACCACATATTACTGGAAGGACCAAAACCATTGGAAGAGAATATTGAGAGACATTTTACATGAACATTGGGTTTTTTTTTTTTTTTTTTTTTTTTTTTTTTTAAAAACTTTTTTCCCTTTTTAAAAAATTTTTTATAAAGTACTTTTCACCTTCTAGACAAGTCATCACATAATGAATAATTGGCAAAGATTATGTGTTGGACAAATACAACATTAAAAAAAAAAGGCTTAATATTGCGCTTTCTTGAATTTCCTCCAACAATTCAAGCATAAAATCACTTGTGAAACAGATTAAGATAATATTAAGAAACAAAGATCCTGGGCAAATAAGATCAGATACTTAATAGATAAAGTCACACTATTACGTCATTCTTCTATATTTGCGATTTGTCCAAGGTCAAACTTCATCATCTTATCAATAAAACAAGGAATCTTAACTTACAGATATAAAATATGCTCATCTTAAAAGTGGCCTCACAAGATGTTCCTATTCCTCTCAAAGTACATATTCGGAATCAAAATATGATACTCCAACAAATTGTCCAAACATGCAATTCTAAAATGTCTCTCCTTCAAAATGTACCCATTGCATCTAAAATAAACATTTGCAATAATAATATGACACTTTAAACAATGATGACAAAAAAGCATGTTTAGAATAATATGAACTAACTCGACAATAGAAGAAAACAGCAAAACATGCACAAGCCTTGGACAAGAATGATGCCGTGGTCCAATCCTTCTTTTCTTAACATATCAAAGAGGTAAAAGAATTAACAGGGGTCAGAATTAGTTGTGCATATTATCTTTCAGGTAGTCATTTCGATCAGTATTAGTATATTATTCAATCTGAAAAATTCAAATCCATATAAAAAAAAATAAGGGAATAAGCGACTGGTAGACATCTTTCATCTTGAGTTCCGATGCTCAGTTGAAATACAACATAATGATTGTATCACTCTTCTGCAAACTTCTATGATGTTTGACTCTTTCAATAAACAAATGGTAATTTATGAATATTTCAGTAATCAAGTCCACAAGTACATGAACGATTCCTTATGTCCATTATTCCACAGTATAAGTGAACATCCAAATGCTTCATTGAACAGCCAGCAAGATGAAAGATCGACATTGTATGTGCTAGGCACTAGATGATTAGAAGGACAGCCATTTGTCAGCAAACAGAGGACGATACAAAAACCTACAATCACCTAGGGGTATAGGAAAACATTCTCGACAACATTCAACTTGAATCCCTCAATTTTCTCACTAAATTTTCTCTAAGTTAACTCACATATATAACTGATTACATGCATAGCATGGCAATAATTATAGCACAGGCAAAAATAACTGTAGGAGAAAATTAGTGACTAGAATTGAAAGAGATGAAAAAATAGAGAAAACAAATTTAAACAAGTATAACTTACCATTGTGATCAAAAATCACCTGCCGAGTAAGCACATGAACACAAAAAACAGAGAAAAGAATAAATGTTAAGAGTGTGATTTTGATAGTTTTGTTGCATAAAGATGCTAGACGTGATTAGGGATGAAAAATAAAAAATTAAATGCAGATAAAAAAGAGAATAACAATTTAATAAAACGGTGATTTCAAGTGGAGATATCAATTGCAGAACTCTTATAAGAAAAGTAACATTTTTCATAAGTATTTGATCTTTAACTAGACCAAACTATTACTCAAACCAAATCCTTGCCTAAAATTTTGAACTTTATTTCTTGCTCACATCATTCAATCTAATAATTATATCTTCAGTTTTCTTTTCTGTACCACTCTTCATTATCCATAGTGCTGAGGTCCATCATGTGGTAATTTATAACAGCAACTGCACAGTAAAACTTCTATTTCCTGTCTAGTTCTTGTAATGCAATTATCAACGAAAAATAAAATTACTCTGGGGAAAATCACTCGCATTAACCCCAGAATTACATTGTCTCCCAACTATTTGCTATTATCTACTTCTTCTAAAGCTAATACATTAGGTCATCTCCTAAAATCAATCACTTCTTGTCAATTAGAGATGTTCACTTGCATTAGGAGTTTTAAATTCCATCCTTCAAAAGACCAGCTAAAATCTCAACCATCTGCTCTTCCATTGTTCACTCACAAGGATAATTGATGTATTCAATTAACATGTTAATTATATTCTGCAAGTGAGCAACTGCGATGACAGTATTAACTGGGCTTCAAACAGCCTTGTTGGGAATTCCTTCAACGAGACTGATTACAAGATTGGTTTGGCTACAGCTGCGTGTAATTATGGGGGGAAAAAACTAAAGGACACATTAGGGTATTAAAATGTCATCTCATTGCAGAAGTAGTTCAATGCAGAATCTACTCTTTCAGAAAGATTCAGCATGCTGTTACAGGATGGCTCAAAAAGCCTGGATGCTCCACAAAATAATTTTGATACAAGTGATTGATTCCCAGTAAAAGTAACTTTGTGCTTCCAAAATAAGCCACAAGATTAGTAGCTTTTATTTTATTCCATTTTTTTTTTGGTGGGTTGGGGGGGTTTGGGGGGGGGTGTTAACGTGCTAATATATCATTGCTTACTATGCTTTGTGATTTATTCTGCTTGTATTTCCTTGTACTTCTTTTCATTTAGGTGTTGTTTGAGCCCCATTCTTTTCAAAAAAATGCATTTTGCAATAGTATTATAATGGAAAATGTGTAGTTAAAAATTAAAGAAAAGTTTCGGGTTTGTATGTAATATTATTTTATTGCAAAATGTGTGGTTAAAATTGGATCTGATCACTATTCAATAATGCATTTTGATGGAAAAATGGGGCTCAAAGAAGGGCTTACTATCACTTTTTGGACTTGAAGAGTTTAATGCCCTGAAAATTTTATAGAATAAAATTTATTTTTTCTATATGCTATATATTTATATTTTGAAATAGTTTAATTTAAATTTTATTTTGGCCAAATAATTAGATTTTGATAGAGAGAAAATAAATGTATTGATATTGGATTCTTTTTGTAGCTCATATTTAATTAGAAGTCTTCAACACCTGAAAAAGTTATTTTTGGATTAGGCTACATCAAGTTAAGTCCGATTAAAAGAATAATAAGTTAATAGAATTGGTGGAGGCTTGGAATATTAATTAAGTAAAATTCTTTTCTTCTTTTAATTCCTACCCCCACTTGATTTTTTTTTTTTATATGAAAGCAATACTTGAATACAATTCAAATTCTATTATTTGAAACCAATTCTTATTCAAATTCCTTATCTTACACAGTTTTTCAATTCTAATTATATACAAACTCAATTGATAATTTCAAATATAAATACACACAGAAAATAAAGAGAGCTATGGTAGCAAGAGAGGAGACGAAAAAGTATAGAAAAATAAGAGGAGTATTTTTACGTATCAGATTTTATTCTTTCCACCTTTCAAAAATCAAGGTAAGATACTTTTGAGCAAGTGATTTGTTTCCATATACTTTTATATTCACTTAAATATGCATGAATTGGCAGTGGATTTTAGGGTTCTTTAGAAAGAGGGGTGAAATCCTTAGATAATTTAAGAGGACCTAAGATGAGCGTGTCGCTTGGTCACCAATATACTCCATTAAAGAAGAGTGGTATGAAGGGTAGCTGTTATTGTTATATAATTATTTATGAAAACTACATGTATCTTATTGGATATTTTTAATTACTCACTTTTACAATAATTTTAAAAGTTAATTCGGGTATTTGGAACTGCAGCAAAATGGTGATACAGGCTGTCAAGTGGATCGAATAAAAGAATAAAAAAATATTAAATTTTTCTATCTTTACATTTATTAGTTGGTTTAAAGTTCAAAATCATGTTATTTAATTGGTTAGTTGAACATATTTATTTTTTAAAGATACAATTTTCATGTTTAGTTTAAGTTTATGATATTTCAATTATTTTATTTTTAAAGAAATTTATTTTTATTGTTCCACCTTTAATATAAAGAAAAGAAAACTTTTGCTAACACTTCAAGATTTAAGAAAATTCAGGGTGTTACAAAGAGTGTATTTTACTCGTGGATTAGTTAGTTACTCATCTTCCTGTTGTTTCCTCCTTTTGGCTTTTGAGTTTTGCCCTTCTCAATGCCCTAGCTTAGGGTATATCAAACCATATACTCATAAAAAGGATCTACGAAGTCGTACAATATTTCATTTTTCACCTGGTTTTTTTGTACAAATACTGGAAACACAATCTTTTGGCTCATAGTTTCAACCTTACAATTAGTGCAACAAGTAATATAGTCGAGCTCTTTTCATTCGCACTTCTTTTGTTGCGTGCGTGTGTGGAGGAAGGTGGTAGCAAGGGAGTATAATACTATTAGCATGTTCGTAATTATACATTTTCATTATAACTTGTATCAACTTAGAACTATTTTGAATTTAATGGTAAAGAGAGAACTTGAAAGTTTAAAGCTAAATGCGTGATGTTAAAGAACTAGTATGTGATAGAGAGAGTGATCATGATAAAGAATCCAATTTATTTTAACATGATAGACTCACACGGAAAAAAAAGACTCATACCGCCACATGCGAAGGGATGAATTCCAAGACATCAATTATCTGCAACAAAATATATAAAGGTAAATTTAAATCTAGTAACTACTGGATTAACAGGAGAGAATAGATTTAAATTCCAAAAAGATAAAGCATAGTTCATGGAGACAAACACCACTAATTTGAGACAATACTTCATGGAGTCCAATACTTTTGGATCAACTGAGATAACAAACAAATAAACCCCTAAGCTCGATTTTGCTCAACAGATTTGAGAGGAAAAAGAATTTCTAGCAAATGAAAATGGATGACCATCTAAAACTAAGCCTTTCGAATGCATGTAATGCATCTTGAGTTTTTTTATTTTTAAGCAATCAAAAATGCAATCTTGGTGGTTTTTAGCTCCACCAGGAAAGATCGATGAGGATTCGGATTCCCTAACCGTATATATAAAATCAAACTCACGAGACAAGAGGAGGGAACCTGACCTCCCAAAAGCAAAATAAAGCAACATATGAAGGAATGAAATAAAAAGGAGTACTACTTCCTATACAAAAAGAGCAAGTGGTAATCAAACTAGCATCCTCTAATATTAGAAAGTCCGTAGACTCTGTGGTAGGTCAAGAGGTCCATATTCCTGGTAATGGCGCTGATCCCAACCCTTGGATACAAGTATACCTTACTATGACGCAGCAATGCAGGTGATTCAAACTCATTTCTGGGTTCATTAATGTCTAACATGGGGACATTTTTATGACCATTTTTGAGCTATATGCATCAATATTCAACATTTATCTATTGCATCTTTCTTACATGATTGAGTAGAACACTAATCAGGGAACACAATATCCAGCTGCTTCAGCAAAAGTCATTTATTAGCAAGAGGTTTTCCTCAGTTATTTTGCATTATCATTTGCAGATAAATATGTAATCTGCAGGCATTTCATAAGACAGAGAAGTTGAGAAGTCTAGTAAACAGGTATTACTAGAACCATGTAAACAGAATACTTTTGGACATTTTGGACATCACTCCACGAGATCAGTATAAAAAGTTATATATAAGTAAAAGTCAGGGAACACAATATCCAGCTGCTTCAGCAAAAGTCATTTATTAGCAAGAGGTTTTCCTCAGTTATTTTGCATTATCATTTGCAGATAAATATGTAATCAGCAGGCATTTCATAAGACAGAGAAGTTGAGAAGTCTAGTAGACAGGTATTACTAGAACCATGTAAACAGAATACTTTTGGACATTTTGGACATCAATCCATGAGATCAGTATAAAAAGTTATATATAAGAGCAAGGACAATATCATGAATGTAAAAAGTCAGAGCTTACAAGAGACAGGGCTGTAAAAATGGTTAGGACCCAATCCCCATTTCCATCAGCATCTGAGAGGTGGCCATGGTGCAATTTAGCTATTCAGGAATTCATAAAATGAATCAATACTTGAGAAAAATAAATTGCTAGGGACATAAAGGATGGTTAAAATAATAAAATAGTAAATATCGCCCTCTAAACAATATTCCTTGATTAATAAGTAACAGTTTCCCAGTGGAAAGTACAAGTTGATAATCAGATACGTAAAACAAGTGAAAGAGTAAGAGTTGTTGACATTTTCTGAAATCTCTCGTAGAACAAGCACTGTCCTTATGCAATCTTTTGGGTCCATGAGAACTGAATTTAGCAAGGAGTACAATACCATAGTATTCACATCCATACTGATAATAATGCAAATGAAACGTACAATATGGCAAGTGAAACTACATTGCTCATAACAGAAGACCTTTAACCATTACTTGAATGAATTCGGAATAGACAGTTTGACATACCAAGAAGCTTGTAGTACGCCCTATAAATGATTGATGTTCCATCAATAAGCATAACTCTACCATTTGAAGAACTGTGGTTCGCTAATCCATCTCCTCGGTCAGCTGAATCAAAAATTGCATCTTGAGCTAGTGTTGCACTTTCAGCAGATGTACTTATACCATATGAAGAAACTCTCCGTACAACTTTACACCAACCAGAACTCAAACTACAACACACTCTACCAAATCTCTGAATTGCAAAAAATTAAACAATTCAATGAGTTAGAAATGTCAAAATAAACCGAGCATGGTGGTCAATGTTAGAAATATACTTTACATTTTTAAACAGCACATTTGAAGAATAGCTGGTACGTGGTCTTGCGAAACTAATCAGCTCGTTAGAAGCTCTTCGAGTCGCCAAAAAACTGTTTGCAAAACAATAAAGAGTTCGCTGAAAGGAGTAGCACGCCATGAGTTCATATCAAATTGTTCTCCAAATTCCAGTTCAATGTTCTGCTAAATGCATAATTCAGAAGGAGAGCCTGCAGTAGTACAAACAAATACCTGAGATTTTGAATTTACACCTAGAAATGAAAAAGAACTACGAAACTCAAGAAAATGTCATCAAAATTCATTTCCTATATACAAATTTGAACGGATTATTTGAGTCACAAGCCAAGGGTTTGATAGATAGAGGACCTGATTACTGGCTACTGATTTTGTGGGTCTTGTTCCATGTATGCCATCTAAACCGGCTTTTCTTAACCGTCGTTATTAATTGGGCCGGTCGTATGGGAAAATTCATAACGCCTTTTGATAGCAATTTTGCACCTAAAAAATCAATGTTGTTTGAGCCACATTGTTTTTTTAAAAATACATTTTTGAACCGTATATTGATGAAAAATATATAATTATAAATAAGAAAAAAATTTAAATTTACATGTAATATTAATTTATTAAAAAATGTGTAGTTAAAATGATGTACAATTACGATTTAAAAATATAGTCTTTTCAAAGAATGTAACTCAAACTAGGCTTAAGAAATTAAACATTACTCACTTCAAATTTAAGAACAAAGGTTGCAAATTTTAAAAATTGGATATTTATTAAAATTTATTTATGATGTTAATTAATTAACTATATATTTTATTAGTTAAATATATTAAGGTTATGGATCTATACAATTTGATTACAAATTAACGATTTATTTAGTCCCAAATTATTTTACGATCGCAACTCAAAAATTTTATAAGTCATAATTTGTTCATCAGTCATAAATCAAAATTTATAAATCACAATTTATTTATCGATCACAAATATTATAAGTCATAACTTATTATACAATCACAAATTATTAAATTATTAATCACAAATTAACAATTTTTTAGATCGCACATTATTTATTGATCACAATTTATTTTTTTATTAATCACATATTATTTATTAATCACAGATTAACTAATTTAATAGTTACAATCAACCAACTAATTTGCACCATCACCAAAACTTGCAACCATCACCTCATCATTGCCTCTACCACCACCACGACGACCAAACTCATAGCAGAAAAACTACAATCACATCATCGCGCCAAATCCATCACCGCTCAATAGACCCATTGCCACTAACATCTTATCATCACCAACACAACCACTGTCACACCCACAATCACCCCGCCACCACCAAAATATGGAAGTTGTCAACACTAGCACTCCAACAACCAAAACCAATTCCTCGTCGCCCTCAACCACCTATACTGCCACTACACCAAGCCAAATATCACCCAACCTCTACGATAACATCACCACCACCTATACTTCCACCACCACATGCACTACCACCATCACCTACATCACCATCAACAACTGCAAACACCATCACCCTACCGATCACACAAACACACCACCACACCACATCATCTGAACTCCACTACCGCACCATCGCCACTACTTGGTTCGTGCAGTGATGATCACCGCCCCAAACCTTCGCAAAAAGCTAAAAAAAAAACACAATCGGTCACCACAAACCACCATAAGTACTCCATAGCATTGGAGAAATCAAACTCCGAAATGAAAAGGGCAAAAAAAGAATAGATCTCGTGGTATCAAAGTGGGATGTTACTCAAGCCACCAGATTGTTCCTAAATCACGCCCCGCCGAATTTTTCCTAAATCGCGAAGCGACGCTCGCTCCACCCACAGCGTCATCATCGCCCTACGCAATCTGCATAGTGCAACACGCTCAAGCCACCATAGCGACGTCATCGCCTGCAACCTACCTGGCCACTATGGTGGTCTCAGACTATTGCTTCCGACGATTGTGAGAGAAAGAGAAGAAGATGAAATTGATTAATGAAATTGATTAGGGTTTGGGGAGTGTTTTGATGAAATTTGTATTATAATGTTTAATATTTATTAATATTAAAAATTTGAATTAACGTCTGATTTTTGTACAAATAAACTTTGAATTTGATTTTTTAAGTTGGACCTTTAAAAATATAGATGGGTATAATTTTCACTTTCTTTAGTTCATTTGAACCGGTCGGCTCAAACCTTGTATACGCAGTCACCCTTCAAAAACCTTTCGTCTATTAATCAAATTCCCCATAATATCTCTACATCGTTGAAAAAGCTTAAATTATTAGAAGAAAAACGATGGCTTTGAGAGGCGTCTGGCAATTACAAAAGCTGATTGTCAGTTGCTGTGATTGGGGAGGTAGTAGCAGGGGTATCGGGTAATTATTAACTCTTCACTTGAAGTATCATTTTTCTCCTGTTTTTGTAGCTTTTCTATTCCATGTATTCTGAACCTATTTCTTGATGAGAAAAATTATCAATTTCATGTATTTAATAGATTTTTTTATGGGTTTTATGTCTATTCTTGACGAGAAAAATTAGATACCGAAATGAAGGGATGTTGGATTCATAATGTTAGTGTTTTCGCGCGGGTAGTCTCTAACAATTAAAAGGGGATCAGACGATTGTGTAAGGAACAAATATCTTGAAACAAAGTCTCAAAAAGAGGTGTTTTATTGACAATGACTTTACAATTGGAACTTAAACAGAATGCCTCCAAGGGGCGTAAGCACACGAGTACTGAAAAGAAATGTTTAAGTCTAAACTAAGAAATTGAAATTACATATTCTCTATTTGAGAGTCTTTGATTCGAGATCCTTTTGCTCTATGTCTTCTCTTTCTTTTATATTCCCTTGATGATTTCTTCGTGATCAACCGCTTAAAAACTGCTTAATTGTTTTATAACTACCCACTTCCTTCATGGTGGCCAACTTATCGTGGAACAGACATCTCTAATTGCTGCCACTACTCTTTGTCGTTCAACCGTCTTCAACTGAACTCATTGAATCATGGAACGTGATAAGATTACTCAATAACTGCTTCGATAACTGCACTTTTGGATAATCATAACATCTTATGTTTGCTAAGATCCTGGGCGATTCGAAGGTTTGGGCGAGAACAAGGTCATAACTTTGGGCGACTGCAAGGCAGTTCATTCGCTTAGATATTAGGAGTCTTGCAAGTTTGGGCGATGGTGTTATCGCGTTCGTGGGCTTCCACTGCATTCATTAATAACCCTATTTGGGCCTCGATCCTGAATTGCCCAGTTGGGCTTCATTCTTTAGGCTATTCGATTTGGGCTGCACTTTTAGCGTGTCAACAATTACCCCCCAATAGGGCAGAATTAAATTAATCTTTGCCATATTTACTTTGTATTTTCCAGCAACATTTTAAATTCCCAAAAATTTCAATCATTATTTCCTTCCATAGCTTGAAAAAGTGCAACACTACAAACCTTTATAAACCCCAAAGACACGCCATTTCGTTGTACCACTAACTCACGTATCATTATTTCGCGCTTCTTTCTCACAATATTATTGTTCATTTTCTTGCTTCTCTGCTACGTTTCTCAAACAAACTTCAACAAAACTTTATTTCTTTCCCAATGGCTGCTTCACAAACCCAATCTGGTGACTCTTTCAGTTTCGAAGATTTCCAGAAAATCCTCACTCGGCCATATATAACTCCGAACTTTCTTGTACCAGCCAATGTCGAACTCAATAAGTTCTATCTAGATCCTTCATTCAACAATGCCGAGGCCGTCGAACAAGTGGCGGTGGGCCAGCTGTTCCCTTGTACTCAAGGCCCTCCGTTTCTGAACTCTTTGCCGCTGAGGCCGCTTCGCGAAAGAGGTATTCACACTTGGCCTAAACCTGATGTTATTTTCCATAGATGGCATGCTCGCCTTGTGGGCCATGGTCCTACCAAGGCAATTTTTGATAGTGCTACGATTTCTGATTTGTTAGAAATCTCTCTTCAACCCCCAATTTTTGACCCAGCACTTTTTACTGCTTTAAGTTTTTGGTCATCTGAGTATAATACTTTTATTTTCCCTCTTGGTCCCATGTCCATTATTTTAAAGGATGTTGGGGCCCTAGTAAATCTGCCACCTTTGGGCGATACCATTTTTCCTGGTATTTTGATTTCTGGTGTCGCCTCAAAATTTGACAGAAAACTTACTGAGTCCTATTCAAGCTTGCAAAGCTGTTATAATCACTCGAGCGCTGAGCCTTCCCATGCTGAGCGTGTGGCCTTTCTTCAGATTTGGCTTTGTAAATATATTCTGTGTGTGTCAAGCAAGAAGCCTTCTATGAGCTATTTACCCATAGCGCACGAATTGACACGTGGTAGGCCTCTAAATTTGTGTTCTTTCTTTTTGGCTACCCTCTATAGAGGCATGGCTTCTCTTCAATTCCAATTGAAGAATGGTGCATCTCCCACTGGCAGTGGGCCTCTTTGGTTCACTCAAATATGGTTGAGAGTCTATTTTCCATCACTTGGTTCTCTATCTTTGTCCTTTCATTCCGCTAGCTGCTACGGGCTAGCTATTGACCCACTGAACCCTGTAAATATGTCCAGAAGGGATATCTTTTCATTCTTTTATAATTTGAATTCAATTTCTTCTTTCTTTCCTTTTCCTCCCCCTTTAACTCCAGCCTGGACAGTGCGAGTACCTCTCTGCTCGTTTAGGTTCAGTTTTTGACCGGGAGGGAGTTGTTCCATGATATTTTGACTGGAACCAATGCCAAAGCTGGGGTTGAAATATATGCTCCCCAATTTTTTGCTCGTCAACTTGGTTTTGGCCAAACTTGGCCTGTTCCCCCTTGTTATTCAAGAAATTTGATAGATCGCTTCCACACCATTAATAAGGCAGAGGCAGAAGCTATAGATGCTCGCAACATTATTTTGACGAGTAACTTTTCATTAGCCCCTTCAATCCTAGTCGTGCCATTCATCCCCTTTTTGAACAACTCTGGCCATTAGTGAAGCGCAGATTGTTTGCAACTGATGCCAATCGTGCTTTTCATTCACTGGATCAGCCAAACATTTCTTCCACTTCTCCTGTTTTGGTCACTCCTGTGTCTATTAGGAGTCATTCCTCCCCTACTCGTGCTAAACAGTCTGTTCGTCCATCTACTTCTCTTCCTGCCAAGCCCACTGCAGCTAAGAGTGCCCAAGCCGCAAACGGCCAGCCTCAGCATCTCCCATTTTGGAGAATGATGATGATGATGACACTCCTCTCATCGTCAGGAGAAAGGTAATTAAATTAGTTTACTCACAAGCATACTTTTCTATGTTTGAAACTTTTATATGTGCTGATGGTTTATTCGGATTTCTCAGAAAAGTTCAGCCTCTCCTTTGAAGGCTTTGGTGTTGACAGCTCCTGCTCCATCATCCTCTGTTGAGGCTGCTTCATCCAAACAAGCTGATGAAGGGACTACGCTTAAAGAGAAACCTTCAGTCCCGAAATCCTCATCACAACCAATGGATGAGCCACCTTCTTCCCAGGGCGTCAACCTCCCAAACGTCGAACCAGAAGGTAATACATTTTTTGATGTTTTACCTTTGCTTGTGCTATTGATTTTTGATTTGTCACTTTTTGAGTTCAGCAGATGCTCCCATGGGTTTTCCCGTTGTGGCAAAGTCTTTTCGCCCAGACAAGGGGAAGACCTCACAAGTGGTGAGCCACAGGTGGTAGATTTGGCTGGGGATATGCCACCTGCCAAGATTGCTGATGAAGTAATCTTTGCTTCACTTTTACTTCCACTTTGTTTATTGTAGTGAAAACCTTCAATGTTGAGAATTTTCTTTGCAGGATGCTAATAAGATTGTGTGTTCCATCCAGGACTTGTTCACTTCCTGGGGGCAAATCAAGACGTCTCGCCCTGCTTCAACCGGTCGTGCTTCTGCTTCTCAGAGGAAGATATGAAGTTCCTCAAGCAGTCGATATTTGAGTATGTATCCTTTATGGATATGGACACCGGTCAGGCTAGTGCTGCCAAACATAAGGATAAGCTTGAGCATTTGAGTGCGAAGTTGGTGCAAGCACTGACACTTCCGTCGCTCAATCTTTCTGCTGATTTTAAAGCGACGTTGAAAGTTGTCCATTCCGAGATTCTCTCCTTGCTGGCAAAAAATGTTGAACTGAAGGCTAAGAGTACTCAATATCTTTGTGCTGTATCTGAAAGAGACCCTTTGCTTCTGGAGATCAACAAAGCTGAGGACGAATTGAAAGAAATCTCTTTCGAAATGATGATTGAATACTCTTTGATGACCAGTTTGGCTGCACAGATGAAGGAGCTTCAATCAAGAATGGACGACTGCAAGGCGAGAATGACTGCTAAAAAATGTAATGCCTCCCAAGGAATTGAGCGAACCAAGTCTTTGGTCGAGGAGTACAAGAAGTTGGAAGTTGATGATGATTTTGTAGTTGAATTGGATATCACTTCTTCTCGACAGAGCGAGGATTGGGGGAGACTTAGGGAAAGAATTCATTCGATCTGGGACGAATTGTAATCAAAACATATAATGTCTTAACTTTTCTTTTTGTAACTTCGTATTAACTTTCCCCTTGTAACCTCGTACTGATGTCCATTGATAATTCTGAACGTACCAGCAGCCATTATCACTAATGAACGATTAATTTGTCTTCTTGTGTATTTATTGACGTCGTCTTTAATCGTCAACTCCCCAAGCATTTAACTGCTTTATGCTAAGATTCACGCACATTTTCTCTTGGTGTTTCTGTCTCTTTTCCCAAGATTTCGGGCCATTTGATTCCAGTTACTAGGTACGAATGTGGCTGTTCATATTCTGTCTTTTCACTTTCACGCCCCTATAAATGCACTTATATTCTACACTTGTCATTTTCATTTCCATTCTTTTCTTCAAAACCAATTTGCTGCCATCGTTTAACATTTTGACAATCGATCCAAAACCTTCGTCTTCCATAGAAATGGATCATTTGATCCGTCCATTTTGCCATCTTTTTTGATGTCACCTTTGGTATGGGAGATATAGAAAATATTATTTGACCAGCGAAGTTCTTCCCATCATCTCCATGTTCCTTACAAGGAGTTCGATGATAGAAAACAATTTTTGAGGATGCCTGCAAGCTACCTTGCTTGCTGAGAGTGCTTCTCAACCTCCTCGCCCGTTATTGCAGCGATGCATTCAGGAAGGCGATGTGAGGGTACTTTTTCTTCCCTTCTACTTGCTGAGAGTGCTTCTTGGCCTCTCTGCTTGCCTTTGCAGCAGTGCGATCAGGATAGAAATCAAGGCCAGTTCACCCTCTACTTGACGATCGACCTAGAGATTAGTTTGCTCTTAATTGTAACTTATAGAGCATTTAGTATTTTGTATTTTGCAACTTTATAAT